AGAGAGAGAGAGAGAGAAAGATGAGTGTCAGAGCGAGAAGAAGTGCCACCATATGTTCTCTTCGGCTTGTAAATCTTCCTGTGGACCAGTGCCAACTTCAAAAACCACTCCACTCCCCTGAAACTGTACTTTTCCCCCATATTTCATCTCAGCAACATTCAACTGCACATTGTCATAAAGTAACACTGAGTTCAGATACCTGTGCACTCAGCTGCAATCAACAACAAGCTTAATGTGAAGGTAGGAAAGTCAGACAGACAGGGAAGAGCAGAGAGGAGGGGTTGGATAGGGCAAGAATGTTATAAAAAAAAGAAAGATGGATCAAATGAAAAGAAAAAGTGAAGACTGCTGAAGAGGGCTGTAAAAAGAACCCAACCTCATAGGAGCCGGTGAGACGGAGAGAAAAAGGTATCTGGCAACAAGGAAAAGAAGGAGAACACTAACAAGGGAATAACAACAGAAGAAAGGAGTGACAGAGGTAAGATGGGGTTTTTTTGCAAGCAGCCAGGGGGATAGAAAATGACTTGTTAGACTGTAATAACTTCCTCAACTGAAAGCTGAATGTCCTCTCAGTGTAATTTAACCCACAGCTTCCTCTGTGATGGAAAATAATTGTTTTCTTGAGACTCAATGAGCTGCATTGTTTCCTGCTATTACCGGAATGATTAGATATAGTCTGTAAAGGACACCACAGGAGAAAGAAGAAAAAATACATCTTTTAACAAAGCATGATGTGGGTAAACTGATAGTCCTTTAGTGATATTTATTTTCTATATTTTAACTCAAATGTGATTGATATCAAGACGTGGAGATAGAGGGCTGCTGCTGCTGGAAACAGATACAAATATGTAGGGTTTTTCAGTCTTATGTTGAGATTGAGATTGCAACCACAGCTGTTTGCAAGATGAATTAGTCAAATATTTTGTCAATTTCCTCTTCTAGCCCACTGGATGTTTCAGCCATGAACCTGACCTTTGCCTTGTTTCTGCTGCTGAGTCTTCACATTTGTAAAGCAATGGTGAGTCTAATTTCTCACAACAATAATGCTGAAGATGTAATATAAACGACAAAGATGGTGGGCACTAACCTGAATAAAATCATATTATTATTATTATTAGATCTGAGAATTGTTCGTGACGAGGGCTGCAGCTGTAGTATAACATAGTCTTCCCTCACCTCCTGTTTTCTGTCATCAGGATTGTTTTGTGTAGGTGTTAAAACAGCAGTTTCTGAGTAATGGAAGTGTGGCTCCAGTATTTTGGGTCAGCATTGCACCTGTTTCCCATATAATCTGGAAGATTTGGGGGGCAGATGTGGACCTGGCGCCAACTACAAAGTTTCTGGAAATATAGGTTTGGAAGGGGAGATGGATATGAAAGAGTACACATACCATTTTCATTGTGGTTTCGTGCAATTTTTTTATCATTTAGGTTTACAATGAAAGACAAGTTTATACCTGAGTATAGTGCATAGTGCAAAAAAACATATGATCCTTTCATCCTGTCAGTTCTGCCTATAAACATGATATCAGAAAACTGTGTGTGTGTGTGTGTGTGTGTGTGTGTGTGTGTGGTGTGTGTCTGTGTGTGTTTGTCAG